ACTGTCCTTGACTGCTCAGCAACAACCCAAAACATCAGCACATTATCAACAGTTTCTCATCCCAAATCCAAAACACAGTCTCGCACTAGCTTCTGTGAAGAAAACCAGCTCTATCCTGGCTGAAACCAGGACACTCATCCACAGTTCTGTCTTTCTGAAGATTCTCAAAATAGTCTACAGAAATCATCAATCTCACGCAGAACACATAGAATTCAATTTTTCAGAAAGAAGGGCGCTTTTGTTTCAGATGACACTTCCTCTAGCTCCCTTATTCCATTGTACTCCTTTGTCCTGCAAGATATTCAAATGTATTCAGCAGTGGCTCTATTTTCAACCAGCACCTAGGGATTCCTATCTTTACTGCTGCTCATTATACTGATTTTTTTTCTGCTTTACAACTTCAGAAAGAAGTCATATTCTGAAAGTTTAATTTTTCAGCAGAAACCTGAGCACTTACCAGACTCGCTGGCAAGAAGGGTCACAGAGCAAGAGAAAAGGAAGATTTCCTTTAAACAGTTTCACTTACTATTTTGATGCTATGTTAAAACCATGACCTGGCATTGTTCTTTGTCTACCGTTTAACTGATGGGAGTACCACTGGAAACAGGTGTCTACATATTCTTCATCATATCATCTTTGAGCTGTGCTAAGACTGAGTGAACAACATGGCTTTAAAATGTGTATGCCATTTTTATCCCCTGTTTCTACCAATGCAGCCGCAGCAGAGATGCACAATTTCCAGGATAACAGTAGGAGACTCAGTAAACCAAGTCAAATTAAAATAGACCACTAATGTGGACAAAGCTAGAATGTAAATCCACAAAACAGTCATTGTCAGTGTGTTATTTTTGCTATATGTTCAGCCAGGCAGTGTAAAAGGCATGCACAGGAAATTACATCAGCAGAAAATGTTGATATGAATATTACTTAGAAAACTTTGTTTTTCTATTTGTTCATTCTTCACTGTTACTACATTTTTGATATTATTTTGTGGCCTGCTTTTGTTTAAATTTGGTCGACATTTGCACCACCTGGGTGCTTTTTGCTTTTTTTCCAGGAATGAAGTGAAATATATTCAGTAGCCAAGCCCCAGTCAGAACCTATACTAAACTGAATTGCTGAAATGAAAGAATACTATCCTGCCATTTCCCAGAAAAATTAACCAGACCACACAACCAGAGAAGGACCGTTCTTCAGCATACACAATTTTATCATCTCCAATAGCAATGTGATATATCGATGTGAGTACCACTAATACTAGATAGCACCATGGTACGAATGCTAGAAATTTGGAAACAGCCTACCCATGCCTAAGAGACCTTCTGAACAATTTCTCTATCCATATGACATCTCTACAAGATACTAATGCTTTATGATCTTCATTTTGCTGGTAAGAATAAAGACACGGGTTAAATTCCAGTGCTTTGCTATAGTAACTTGATTATGCACTTCCCTGAATAATGGCAGAGTAGTGGGTGAGACAGTCTTTTCTAATATTTGCATTATGTAGGCTGCCATGTGTTAACAGTGTGCATTGTTACTGGAGAGCTAGGCTTGAGATTTCCTTTGTGTGGTCCTGGAATTAAATATGCTTTATCTCACTTTTGTGTAAGATGACTTGAAATAGCAGTAATATTTAAGTCTTTTAATACTCACTCTTCTGTATTTTCATTTCCAAGCCATTCATTTAGTTTCTTTTGCCGAACACCTTTTTGAGTCAGCCACCTGGACAATAATTGCAAATAAAATTAATTGTTAGTCACAGAAGTTGGATGCCAATAAAAAACCAACTTTTAAAAAATGTTTTGCTAATTAATAATGATACTCACATCAAGTACTGATCTCTTGTTTTCCTCAGCTGTATGAGGTCTGGCTTAATGCTGTTCATATGCTTGTCTATCTCTCTATATTCAGCTGTTTGCTTCTTTAAATCCTCTTCTAATCTACGCCTGCTGTCCACAATTTCACTTATTCAAGACTTCAGTTTTTTATAGTTGTGCATAATTCTGAACGGAATAATGTAGTAGGTTATACTCTGATGAAGTCTTATTCGTGACTTTATATCTGCTGTTTTCCCATGTAGACATTTAAGAGAATAGATTATTTCTCTAGATATAGGTACATGTTTTGCAAGTTCACATCTACCCCATTTGAGGCTTGTAAAACTGAACAACTTTAACCTTGCCAACTTGCTTTAGTTTTAGGCAGATCTATATTTGGTATTGTTTCTTTCTTTAAAATCATACAATTTGAAATATAAACACTGACCTTTGTATTTCTTTTTCATTTCCTTCCCATTTAAATTTTTCAATGTATTCCTTACTGTATCTTTCTTGCATCTGGCACTGCTCTTCAAATATTTTTTATTGTTTCATTAAATGCTTCAATAGCTGTTCTTTTCATTTGAATGTCCTGAAAGGAAAATAATTTTTATTACAGTTGTTATCAAACAGAAGGGATGATTTATTGGCTTGTATCACAGAAACACTTCAGTATGTTGTAATAGAATGACTTCAATATCCCTTTACCAGAACACATTCTCTCTGCAGAGCCTTACAAAACAGAGAAAACAGGCCTGTAGAAAAGGCTACCATGATGAGGCTTTCCATGATGAGGTTTTTCAAGAAAGAAAAACTGCTAGACATAGAGCTAGCTACAATCTTTGTTTTGTATAAATAAGTTTTATTTGTGATGATTAGAGCCTTATGGCAATGCACTTTGCCCTTTGTACCAACTAATGTCCTTAGAAGTACATCTGGTTTTCTGAAATAAAGGTATAAGATATTGGGCTGGACAGGTCTCAAGAGGTCATCTAGTCTATCCTCCTGCCCCTACATAGCTGGTCGATAGCTAAGTATTTTAAGTTCAAGTTGCCTGCACTCCTCCACCTTTCTTCAATTATTTTGAGGCTTATTTCCTGAACATTTTAAGAAGCAGTCTTGACTCTGGGGCTGTAAAACAGCACTAATTCACTGGCACTTCAAGACTTGTCTAATACTTTATTAAGATGTAAGAAGGATAGAGGCAGCTTTTCATTCCTGCACTGTATCTACACGTCATCACTCCACCCTGCATAGGTGAAACCAGACCCTTAAAATACTGGTAATAAAATACAGTGCTTCCCTGCAGATGTGTCTTGAAAACCTTAACTCAACTTGATGAGGTCAGTATGCAGAAGTGTTGGTAAATCAAGACAGTTCTGTGCTTGCTTTGGATGCAGGTGTCAGACCTGAGCACAGGGTTAGGTTACAGGTGGTGACTATTCAAACACGAGTACGCAATTCTACTATACTGAGTGAACGCATCAGATATGTTTCCTCTTTTGAGCAATGGTGGTGGTGGTGGGAGGAGGATGGAGGAAGATAGCGGTATGAATATACAGTAATATTCTTCTAAATCTACATAAGTCTTCCACTCTCCCTTTGGTTTCAAATCCAGCTCACCTGAGATGTTCTTGTGTAGTCTTCATAGAGTCTGTCATATTCTCGGCTTTTTTCTTGAAACTGGGTATTATATTAATGTAATTTCTTTCCCAGTGTTTCAATGCTATCCTCTTTCACAACTTGATCCTGGGATGATGAGCAGAAGGAAAGATATTCCGTAAAGAAACAATTATATTGCACAGATTTTCAGGATAAAACTGCTTAAAAATGACCAGATAGTTACATGACAAATGTGACTTCTCTTTTATCAATATGGAGATATGATATACTCTATGCATAATATGCATAATAGAAATAAAATTAATGACAAAATTTTTCATTGCAAGTGTTCAGTTTTATATATTTCATCATTAATGATGGGGATATTTATTAACATAAGTTCATTTCTTAATAATGTATCTGCAGTATTTAAAGTTTTAATTATTTATATGCAAATTGTGGAGTTCATTTTAAACAAAAACATCCATTTTTATATCCACTTTATTTTTTCAAATATTAACAGAGCTGAAGTTCTTCATGATAAATGACTCCCCAGTCTGCAGTAATTCCTCTGTATTTAAGTGTAACACAAAGAAAATAGACCAAATTACCTGCTGGTACATAGATACTGGATACAGCAATTTTACATCCAGTTTAGGATTATACTGGGCTAGAGATTCATTCTGGTAGTGGTTTATTAGCTCAACCACAAAGCTGAAAGTTAATGGGTCAGAAAAGCCATATTTCCCATCTTGGTGAAATATTTTGATTAATTTGTTATTTCCTCCTTTCCTGCAAATAAAGTTTGTTGAAAAGTTAGGCATACTTCAAATACTATTTCCTAAGAAACACTGTATTTTAAATGCAGTATTGCATTTTACTGTCAAGTATTATAGACCTAGCGTAATTATCTTTTACCTTAGCGTAAGTGTGTAGTCCCCATGCATTTTGGTTGAAGCATCTCATACCAAAAAGGTACCATCAGCAGTATCTCAAAGCTTCTCATTTACTTCTTCTCTAAAATGAAAGCAAAAGTAACCAATCATTTCAGCTACTTCTCAATCATTTACCTTCCCACTGTGCTCTAAATTATTCTAAAATAACTGGTTTTTATAAGTTGCCTTGATCTTCATATTAATACAGTTATTTAATAGCTTATTTAACAATACTAGAGAACAACTGGGATATAAAAAACACAGAATCACAGAATCACTAGGTTGGAAAGGACCTTCAAGATCATCAAGTCCAACCATTAATCCAGCGCCACCATATCCCCTAAACCATGTCCTGAAGTGCCACATCCACACGTTTCTTGAACACTTCCAGAGATGGCGACTCCACCATCTCCCTGGGCAGCCTGTTCCAATGCCTGACCACCCTCTCGGCG